CTGCCCCCGCCCGCCCCCCCCAGAGGCCTCTGTTGTCTTTTGATTTCAGATCTGCTCTCCAGGCGCAACGTTTTAGGGAACCTTCCTCAGAGAGGCTGTTTCTCAGGGCGTGTGAAGTCCGAGATGCTGATACAGCAGCTGTGCTGGTAGGAATAAACTGCCTGCAAAGAGGGAGACAGAAAGCCTTGCAAACGTAATTATGACTAGATATGTGCGGCCACTTGGGGAGTGAACCAGTGGATGGAGGACCTCTCTCTCTCTCTCTGTGTAACTCCGACTTCCAAATAAATAATTCTTAAAACAACAGAAAGAAAAAGAAAATACTTAAACCTCAGTTTTAAATGCACAGTGCGTTATTAAGGATTTTGATGGTGGCGGTGAAGCTCCGTTTTACAGGGTGGTCTGTGGAACGAGGACGAGCGTTCCTGACTGTCGAGAGCATCCAGGGCGTCTGCCCTGCGCGTTCCCCTCGCGAGGGCCGTGTGGGCAGCGCACGTCGGTGCTCACGCTCGTCCCACGCTGCACTGGTGCTTGCAGGGTGGTGGTTGTGTTAGAGCCAGCTGTGTTCTCACCGCTTCCAGGTAATCAAGTCTGGGAGGAGAGCCAGGAGAACCTGTTCTCACCCTGAACTGCATCTGAGAGCAGTCCTGTGTTCTAGTGACCTTGGCTTTTCTTGGGTGAGCAATCTTGCTTAATTAACTTGATAAGCAATTTCTGTGTTATCTTGGTTATTGTTTCTTAAAGCCTTTATCAGAGACACACATTGAGATATTGATAGATGAAGTGATAGGATGTCTGTTCCTTTTTTGGCTTTTTAAAAAAGATCTATTTATTTATTTGAAAGTCAGAGTTACACAGAGAGAGGCAGAGAGAGAGAGAGGTCTTCCATCTGATGGTTCATTCCCACCTGGCTGCGATGGCTGGGGCTGTGCTAATCTGAAGCCAGGAGCCAGGATCTTCTTCTGGGTCTCCCACGTTAGTGCAGGGGCCCAAGGACTTGGGGCATCTTCTGCTGCTTTCCCAGGCCACAGCAGAGAGCTGGATCAGAAGTGGAGCAGCTGGGACTCGAACCAGTGCACATATGGGATGCTGGCACTGCAGGTGGTCGCTTTACCCACTATGCCACAGCGCCGGCCCCTGGGATTTGCTGTGGAATAAGTGTTGGGGGGTGGAGGGTGGAGCTCAGACCAGCGTTCTCAGGGCCCGAGTGTTTTTCGCTTCTTGGCCTCGGCCCTCTGTGGTGTCCTGTACATATTGACTCACTCCCGTGGACTTGAATCAAGCAAAGCTGAGTGAGTTCCGGGGTGGTCCTTGCAGTCTGGAGACGTCTGTGTCTCTGAGGTCTGTACAGAGAGGTGTAGTTTACAGGCACTCCTGTGCCTTCCTCGTTTGATGTGATGTGATAGCTTAAGATGGAGCTGAGCGTCAGGTTACTGCCTGTTGGTCACACTTGAAAAACAACAGTTAATTATTTTCTAAGTACAAAGTAATCCATGAACATTGTTAGAAATTTGCAAAAAAGACAAAGTGTAAGGAAAAATTTCCATGTACAGTCCCACTGCACTAACCTTTTTATTGTTGGATAAATTGCTTTCAAGTCTTTGATAAATTAAAAAAAAATAGAATGATATGTGCCTTTTGGTGTTTTTAAAGATTTTTTAGAAAAAGCTTATTTATTTTTATTTGAAAGAGCAGCAGAGAAAGAGGGAGAGGGAGAGGGGGAGAGCGCACTCTTTGTCCACGGGATCCCTCTGCAAATGCCTGCAGCAGCTGCATCTGGGCCAGGCTGGGGTTGGGAGCCGGGAACTCAGTCCCCCCTCTCCTGTGCGTGGAGGAGCCTGGTCCTCACTGCCGCTCCCGGGGATGCACGTTAGCAGGAGCCGGAAGCAGGAGCAGAGCGGGGACGGGGCCCCGGGCGCTCTGCCGCGGGGTGCAGGCGTCCTGAGCAACACTAAGCAGCGTCTCCGTCTCTGCGCCAAGCACCGGCCCTACGAGAGGATGAGAGAGCGTAGCCAGAGCCCGCAGGGCGTCAGTTCTGGGAAGTGCTGGACGCTGGTCGCTGCGACGCCCGTATTTTTCCTGGTATCCTTCAAAAACCTGTCTTCAGTGGGCATTGTGTCACCACATGAAATGATACAAAGGTGGGAAAAGAGTAAAGAAAAGTGCTGCCGATGTCGCACACCGCAGCCGCTCGTCGCTGGGGAGACGGTCTCTCTGAGGGCGTGGAGGGCGCGCTTCCCTGCGGGGCTGGCTAGAGGGCATCCCTTCAGAACACACCGGTTCTTGACCTGTGATGGACAAGCACGTGACTCTCCTGAGGCCCCACCTTCCTGACCTCTCACCCGGGTGGGCCCCTGCACGTGGCTGTTACACACCAGACAGCGCATTCTGTGTGCACTGCCCACCGGTCGCTGTCTGCCCCATTCTCTCTGCAGCCCTGCCCAGCTGGGGATTCTGGGGGAGAATTACACCCTGAGAACGGCTGTGATCTGTGGCTTTTCTCTCTCTCTCTCTTTTTTTTTTTTTTTTAATGATTTTTAGATCTATCTGCCACTATCTTAAGCCTTTTAGTTTTTTTTTTTAAGATTTTATTTAGTTATTTGAAAGTCAGAGTTACACAGAAAGAGAAGGAGAGGCAGAGGGTGGTGGTCTTCCATCCGCAACAGCCAGAGCTGCACCAATCTGAAGCAAGGAGCTTCCTCTGGGTCTCCCACGTGGGTGCAGGGGCCTAGGGACTTGGCCATCCTCCACTGCTTTCCCAGGCCATAGCAGAGAGCTGGATCGGAAGTGGAGCAGCTGGGACTCGAACCAGCGCCCGTAAGGGATGCCAGCACTGTAGGCGGTGCTTTACCCGCTACGCCGCAGCGCCGGCCCCGGTCTCTGTGGTTTTAAACAGTTAGCAGCGCTCCACTGGCTTCCGTGCAGGTGGCCGCCGCCGTCTTCCCTGGCATCCTGGCGGGTCTGTGGGAGCGGCTGTGAGCCCCTCCGTCCTGCTGGGAAGTGGGAGTTGGGCAGACTCGCTGTGAGCAGGGCTGAGCACCGAGAAAGCAGGCAAGTCCCCAGGAGCCAGAAAGGGGGAAAGGAGCCGAAACCGTGGTAAGGACAGGGAAGTCAGGACTGCCCTGGGCATTGCCGAGGTTTGACCTCAGAGCCTTGAGTTTTTCACAAGTGCTGAGGGGAAACAGGGACCAAAACCTCAGGCCAGGGCGGAGAGAGAGGAAGTGGAACAACTGTGTCTCTCCTTGGCCTCTCCAAGAGCTGTTTGGTACAGGGTTCATGACAAAGAAGAATTAAAAGTTAAGTTTATTTTGGTGCAAAACAGCTTTGGAATGCACGCATAGGTGTTTGTTTGAAAGGCAGAGCAGCAGAGCCAGAGGGAGAGGGAGAGAGACATGCCATCTGCTGATTGGCTCCCTACATGCCCCCAACAGCCAGGCCTGGGCCAGACTGAAGCCAGGACCCAGAAAACCCATCCAGGTCTCTCACATGGCTGGGGAAGCCCACATTCTAGGACTGCCACCTGCTGCCTCCGGGCGCCGTTAGCAGGGGTGTGGGGCGAGGGCATCCCAGGCATCGTCTCGGCTGCCACATCACGGCACCTGCCCCGTGGTGTTGCCATGGTGTGCCTTTCCTGTGGACTTCTGGAGGACCCCTGTGTGCTCCTTAAATGGAGGACGGACTAGGAGAGAAGGCTCCTCTGGTGGCAGGCAGATGTGCGGCGGCTCCGGGCTGCGGGTGTAGCGCGGCTGCTGCTCCTGCCGCTTTGGCCCCAGCCTCTTCTCACCGGCCTTTGGAGTTTGCCGTCAGCCCTCCCCTGATGTCCAGGAGATGTCCGATCTGCCACTCGCACCAGGAAGCAGCTGCCTGCTTACAGAAGGCGTTGGAATTTGGGTTAGCGCCGTCATTTTACACAGTATCAGTGTCTCTGTGGAACCCAGGCTTGGAGGTGTCTGCGGCGGCTGCTGTCGTATGGGTCTGGCATTGTGTCGGCTGGGCTGAGAGGTCGGCGTCTGCCCGTGGGCGCGGTTCGGGTTGTGGCAGAGCGCAGGATTTTCCTGCTTCTGGGTCGCAGCTGGCTGACTGCAGGGATTGCTTGTGCATGAGGTTTTGTCCCTGAGAACCCACCCTGTGCTATATACAAGTAGATTTTTTTTTTATTTGAAAGGTAGCGTTAGAGACATCTTCCGTCTGCTGGTTCACTCCCCAAATGGCCACAACAGCCAGGAGTGGGCCAGGCCAAAGCCAGGAGCCAGGAGCTTCTTCCAGGTCTCCCACGTGGGTGCAGGGGCCCATCTTGGGCCATCTTCTGCTGCTTTCCCAGGCGCATTGGCAGGGAGCTGGATTAGAAGTGGAGCACTTGAGCCAGCACGCGTATGGGATGCTGGCACTTCATTCAGTGGCTTTACTCGCTGTGCCACAGCACCGGCCCTGCAAATAAACCTTCCTTAAAAGTTGAATTATATGTTAGAAAATTAAGATGCAGGTGCACTCTGATCCGGCAGCGGGATCGCCACGTACCCACAGGGTAATAAGGTCTTTGTTAATGAGTGATTCTTGGAGCGGCTTTGGCTGTCCTCCCCATCCCCTCTGCCCCTCCCTACCCCTGTGCACGTGTGAATGCCAGGCAGTGGACTCTCAGGAAGGATGCGAAGAGGACTAAAACACGGCGCTCATCCCGGCTGACCGCCGAGTCTGCCCAGAACCTGTGTGGTTGCCCCGGGGTGCCCTGACCTTGCTGTGTACCCCCACCGAGTTTGCCCAGAACCTGTGTGGTTGCCCCGGGGTGCCCTGACCTTGCTGTGTGCCCCCGCCGAGTCTGCCCAGAACCGTGTGGTTGCCCCGGGGTGCCCTGACCTTGCTGTGTACCCCCACCGAGTTTGCCCAGAACCTGTGTGGTTGCCCCGGGGTGCCCTGACCTTGCTGTGTACCCCCGCCGAGTCTGCCCAGAACCGTGTGGTTGCCCCGGGGTGCCCTGATGCTGCTGTGTGCCCCTGCACAGCTATTGGCACCTTAGGGCTTCCCGAGGAGCCGCCACAGCTTCTGGAGAAAGTTACGTTACCACAGCCGTGTGTATTACTGAGGCTGGCTGGAAACTGCAGGTTATGTAATCCAGAGTTAGCGTCTGCGTGGGACTGATTCTGCCCCTGCGTGTGTCTGCAGGACGACGTGAGGCACAAGGTTCACCTGAACACCTTTGGCTTCTTCAAGGATGGGTACATGCAGGTCAACGTCAGCAGCCTGTCGGTGAGCGAGCCTGAAAGAGCCGCAGACAAGGACGCCGCCGTGAGTACCTGCTCCTGCCGCTCTGCCCGGGTAAACAGGAAGTGTCAGAGTGTGGAGGGAAGTGAGCTGACCAGAACCAGACTGTGTGTTAGGCACCAGGCAGTTTGCTTTTAGTACTTAGATTGCAGTTCTTGAATAATTCTAGTCCTTGGTGATTTTATGAGTGCTCAGAAAGTGAAGAGGAACTAGGCTGAAAGCATGCCCTTTCCTGCTCCCTGATTAAGGAGGATGTGGGCGAGGCGAGACTTGGCACAAGGAAGATGCTGGTTGGAGGGCCAGGGGTGCGGCTGGCAGATGAAGCCACTACTTGGGGTGCCTGTACCCTGTATCAGAAGGCTGACTTGAATACCAGCCACTCTGGTTCTGCTCTAGCTCCTGCCATGTGCATGGGGAGCAGTGGTTGATGGCTCAAGTACTTGAGTGCCTGCCACCCTCTGTTTGGGGAAACCCGAATTGAGGTGTTGACTCCTGGCTTTAGCCTGGCCCAACTGCAGCCACTGTGGCCATTTAGGGAGTGAACCAGCGACTGGAAGATCCATCTCTCTCTCTCTCTCTGCCTTTCAAATAAATAAATCTTAAAAAAAAAGAAAAAAAAAATGCTGCTTAGGACATCGCCAGCCCGTACCAGAGAGCCGGGTTCAAGTGCTGGCTCCACTCCTGATGCGGCTTCCCATTAGCGCACATCTCGGGAGACAGCAGGTGCCTGGGTCCTGCCACCCATGACCGAGCTTGAGGCTCCTGGCTTCAGCCTGGCCCAGCCCTGACTCCTGAGAGAATCTGAGAAATAAATCAGCAGATAGAGAATGTCCCTGCCTCTCAAGTAAAGTGAAAATAAATACATACTTTTTAAAAAAGATTTTATTTTATTTTACTTGAAAGGCAAAATTAGAGAGAGAGAGAGAGAGAGATCTTCCACCTGCTGGCTCACTCCCCACATGTCCACAATGACCAGAGCTGGGCTGATCCGAAGCCAGGAGTCAGGATCTTTTTCCAGGTCTCCCATGTGGGTGCAGGGGTCCAAGCACGAGGGCCATTTTATTCTGCTTTCCCAGGCACATTTAGCAGAGTGCTAGATCGGAAGTGGAGCAGCCAGGACTTGAACTGGTGCCCACGTGGGATGCTGGCACTACAGATCACGGCTTTACCTGCTACACCACAGCGCTGGCCCCCATCCCTGTTTTTTTAAAGAAAGGAATGGACAGTTGTGTAGATGTTTACTTCTCTTTTTCTGCTCTTCCCCCACCGCCTGTAGCTTGGATTCAGCCTAGAACGTACGAAGAACGATGGCTTTTCGTCCTACCTGGTACGTGTTAAATGCGGTCTGATCGCTGCGTTCACTGAGCCCCAGATGTGAAGCGGGGCCCCTGCTGCTTGCAGGCCTTTTCTGTGGCAGCCGCGTGGCTTCCAGGCGTTGCAGAGCGCTGTGGTGGGCTTTGCATTTTGGAATTTACCTCGTGCCGGAAAACGTACTGTTCTTGTTCGGAATGGACTGCATGAGGGACAGTTGGTCCTTCCTTTCTCAGGATGAAGATGCGAATTACTGTATTCTGAAGAAGCAGTCCGTCTCCGTCACTCTTCTAATCCTAGACTTCTCCAGAAGTGAGTAAGTAAATCTAATCTTGCTTTTGGTCAACCCTAGAGAGAAGCTGTTGCCTTCGCTGGGTGCTTGCTACTTGCCAAGTATCGTGCTGAGATGCAGCACGAGATGGGGAGGCAGAGTGGGGCAGGCAGACCGGCCACAGGAGCGGTCACGGCAAGGTGGAGACGTGGTTGGAAAGGGAAGCCTTCAGGGCAGTGGGCGTGGGGGCCGCCCACGCCGCCTTCCAGGGTGACCGAGGACAGGAAGAGCACTTCAGGCAGAGGGAACGCCCTGTGCTGAGGCAGAGGGCCGTGAAGTAGAGGTGCGTTCAGTAAGCTGGGTCATCATTACAGAGAATAAAACTGGAGGGCCAGGGTAAGGAACGGACGGGCCCGAACGACGCCTCGTGCCGCCCACCAGCTCTGTGACGCTGGGCCTCAGTGTCCCGACCGCCTCGCCACGTGGGCCCTGCTTCTTGAGAGTGCTGGCGAGCGTGGCTGGGTAGCAGGTCGTTTCAAAGCATCTGAACTCGGATGACTGTGGGGCTGTGTTTTGAGGTGCGGCAGGTGCCCCCTGGCCACACTCCAGGTCCCTGTGTGTCACTGCTGAGGGAGCCTTCGAAGAGGTGTAGGCTAGGAATGGTTGCTCAGGCTCGCTGTGAGGTGGGCTGCGAGTAGCCCAGAAGGAGGGTGTGAGATGAATAAGATGGGAAGGAGGAAGTATCTATGATAAAAATGAAGTACTTTCCCATAAGACCAGTGTAGGCCCTAGCTCCATACTCTCCATAAGAACTTAAGGTTTTCTAAAAAGAAAATATTTATTTATTTTTAATTTACTTGAAAGGCAGAGTTATAAAGAGAGGAGGAAAGACAAGAAGAGGTCTTCCATCAGCTGATTCACTCCCCAAATGGCCACACGGCTGGGGTTGGAGCAGGCTGAATCTGGGAGCCTGGAGCTTCTTCCAGGTCTTCCACATGTGCACAGGAGCCCAAACATTTGGACCATCTTCCTCTGCTTTCTTGGCACATCAGCAGGGAGCTGGATTAGAACTGGAGCAGCCGGGTCTCAAACCGGCGCCCATATGGGATGCCAAGTCACAGGCAGAAACTTAATTGCTATGCCACACACTAGCCTGTTTCCTTCCTTCCTTCCTTCCTTCCTTCCTTCCTTCCTTCCTTCCTTCCTTCCTTCCTTCCTTCCTTCCTTTCCCTCTCTCCCTCCCCCCCTCCTTCCCTCTCTTTCTCTTTGTTTCTTTCTTCTTTCTTGATTTATTTTTTTTATTTGAAAGAGAGAAGGAGAGAGAGAGATCTTCCATTCGATGGTTCACTCCCCAAATGGCCAGGGCTGGGCCAGGCCAAAACCATGAACCAGGAGCTTCTTCTGGGTCTCCCACAGGGGTGCAGGGGCCCCAGCACTTGGGCCACCCTCCCCTGCTTTCCCAGGTGCATTAGCAGGGAATTGGGTGGAAAGTAGAGCAGCTGGGATTCAAACCCATGTCCACATGGCATGCTGGCACTGCAGGCCATGGTTTTAACCCAGTGAGCTCCAGCCCTGGCCCCTTGTTTTCTTTTTCTTTTTCTTTCTCTTTCTCTCTCTCTCTCTCTCTCTCTCTCTCTCTCTTTTTTTTTTTTTTTTTTTTTTTTTTTTTTACAGCCAGAGTTAGTGAGAGAGAGAGAGAAAGAGCCAGAGAAAGGTCTTCCTTCCATTGGTTCACCCCCAAATGGCTGCTACGGCAGGCCCGCTGCGCCGATCTGAAGCCAGGAGCCAGATGCTTCCTCCTGGTCTCCCATGCGGGTGCAGGGCCTAAGCACTTGGGCCATCCTCCACTGCCTTCCCGGGCCACAGCAGAGAGCTGGACTGGAAGAGGAGCAACCGAGACAGAATCTGGCGCCCCGACCAGGACTAGAACCCAGGGTGCTGGCGCTGCAGGCAGAGGATTAGCCTAGTGAGCTGCGGCGCCGGCCCCTTTGTTTTCCTTTTTAAAAAAAAAATTATTTCTCATTTTGAAAGGCAGAGAGACAGAGATCTTCCCCCTGCTGATTCACTACCCAAATGCCCGCAATAGCCACGGTTGAGCCAGGCCAAAGCAAGGAGCCAAAATTCCGTCTGAGTCTCCCACAGGGGTGGCAGGGACCTGACAGAAGCTAGACTGGAAGTGGAGTTGGGGCTCCAGCCAGGTTGATGCAGGACACAGGCACGTCAAGTCACCTAGCTGCTGTGCCAAGTGCCTGCCCCTTGTTCTTTTTTTTTTTTTTTTCCTAAAATGTTTGTTTATTTTCATCTACTTGAAAGGCAGAATTATAGAGAGGGAGAGATATTTTCCATCTGTTGGCTCAATGCCCCAACAAGGGCTGGGCCAGCCAAAGCCATGAGCCTGGAACTCCATCTGGGTTTCCCACCTGGGTGGCAGGGACCTAAGCACTTGGGCCATTACCTGTGCCTCCCAGCATGCAGCAGCAGGAAGCTGGATTGGAAGTGGAGCTGCTGGGACTTAGAGCTGCCCTCCGATACGGGCTGCTTCCTAACTGGTGGCTTAACCCGCTGGGCCACGCCCCCTGCGTCCCACCTGCTGTTTTCATTTAAGGAAATGAATTTGAGTTTCGTATTAGTCAGGGTGCTTTTGGTTTAAACAGTGGAGACATCAATAACCTCACTTGTTTGAAAGTCCAGGGTGGGGCGAGCGGGTTCAGGTGAGAGACGGAACAACAGGATCTGCTGTCACGAGGGGCTCAGGGCTCGGGGCTCGGGGCTCAGTCAGCGCTCAGCACTCAGGTTCATGTCTGCTCTGCTGCCTCGAGGTCAGCTGCTTCAAGCTCAGCAGGGCTCCCAGCCCACACCACACCACATGGCCCTGCCTCAGCGGTCAGAAGAGAATGCGCCTTCCCCGGGCGGGTCAGCAGACGTGCCGGGCTGGGGCACGTGTGCACACTGGTGCTGGGAGGACGGGCTGCACAGATTGGGTGTGTGAAGAGGGAAGGGTGGAAGTGGGTGTGAGGCAGGCAGCTCGGAGGGCTCACTGCCCCTTCGGGCTCCCCCAGACGTCACCTGCGCTTCCTGTGTCTCCCTGGTGCGCTCATTTGCTGAGCGTTGAGAGCGCCAGGGAGATGTGGGCGCAGCATCGTGTGGTTGCTCAGGATCCAGGCTTTGGGAAGTGAGTGGCTGGTCCTTGCCCGGCTACCTGAGCCTGGTGCCCTCGGGCAGTGTTCACCTTCCTGAAGCTCGGCGTCATGTTCTGGGAGATGCGGGCAAAGAACCTGCGTTTAGCAGGGGCCCGTGTGTGTGGGGCGTGGCTCCGCACCTGGCACTGGCGTCCACAGACGGACAGGAGCACCGCTGTGAGCGTCTTCCTTCTGTCTCGTCTGGATGCAGGGTGAAGGTCAAGTCTCCGTCGGAAGCTGGTGCTCCCTTCCCGGTGGTGGTCGTCAGCAGGGATGACAAAGTCCTTGGTCAGAGCCAGAAGCCCGACGCTGACCCTGGCTCCGCAGGCAACCACACCCAGGAAGCCCAAGGTAAACCCGGCGGGAGCTGGCGTTTCCTCCGCACCCTGCCCCGTGGGTGCGAGCGTGACGCGTTGTCCTCTTAGCATTGTTTTATTTTGAGGCAGACAGGTGTAAAACTAAAGAAAAATGTAGGAAAATAGAAAGAGCAGTCCTTTCTCCTTATTCCTGGTGCTAGAATTTTAGTCATTTAAGTTTCCTTAGGAGCTTGTTTCCTAAGTCTGGGACGTTCGATTCTCAAAATCTATAGTGATGTTTTTAACTTATTTAATGTCTTTGTTAGTGATCGAATAGTTGATTAAGTGGATGCTGTAACTCTGGAGACATGTCTGTTCTCTTGTAATACTGCCGTGTGGGACTCTGGGCATAGACCTTTGTTGCGTAGGTAGAACTGCCTTGAGGGGGTTCCCAGAAGAGGAGTTTCTGGTTCAAAGGTTATGAATGCTTTTGGTAAGATTGTTACGTATTTTCAAGTTCCTTTGAGCCTGAGTTGGGTGAATTTACACTCCTGTCAGAAATGCATCGGGGTGATGCACATGTCATCATGTGTGCCATGTTCTCCCAAACACCAGGTGCTTGCTTGCTTGCTTTCTTTCTTTCTATCTTTTTTTTTTTTTTTTTTTTTTTTTTTTTTTTTGGACAGGCAGAGTGGACAGTGAGAGAGAGAGACAGAGAGAAAGGTTTTCCTTTGCCATTGGTTCACCCTCCAATGGCCACTGCAGCTGGCGCACTGCGCTGATCCGATGGCAGGAGCAGGTGCTTCTCCTGGTCTCCCATGGGGTGCAGGGCCCAAGCACTTGGGCCATCCTCCACTGCACTCCCGGGCCACAGCAGAGAGCTGGCCTGGAAGAGGGGCAACCGGGACAGAATCCGGCGCCCCGACCGGGACTAGAACCCGGGGTGCCGGCGCCACAAGGCGGAGGATTAGCCTAGTGAGCCGCGGCGCCGGCCTACCAGGTGCTTTCTTCTTAAAAAATGATCCTAAAATGAAAGGCAGCGAGTGTTCTCGTCCTGCTCGTTGCTGAGCTGAACTTTCTCTCCACGTGTTGAGTGACCACTTTTCAGTTACGACCTCTTTTGTTAGCTGTCAGTTTTTTCTGTTGATATATGTGAGTTCTTTTTGAAAAAATTTTTGAGATGTATTTATTTATTTGAGAGGCAGAGAGAGAGAGAGAAATCTTTCATCCACTGATCTACTCTCCAAGTGTCCATCCACAGCAATTAAATCTGGGCCAGGCTGAAGCCAGGAGCCAGGAGTGCTGTCGTCATCTTCCCGCGTAGGTGGCCATCTTCCAGTGCCTTCCCAGACGCACTAGCAGGGAGCTGGGTCGGCATCGGAGCAGCCGGGGCTCGAACCAGCGCTGCAGCCGAGGATGCCGTTGTTGCAAGTGGCAGCTTAAGCCGTTGTGCCACAACACAGACCCTTCAGTTCTTTTTAATAAATGCTTATTAATTTACTTATTTAAAAGGCGAAAAAAGACACAGGTTTTCCCACCCACTGGTCCACTCCCACAAGAGCAGGGATCCAAGGACTTGAGCCACAATCTGCTGCCTCTCAGGGTGTGCGCTGGCAGGAGGCTGGGCTGGGTGCACGGAGGAGCTGGACTTAACCCAGGCACTGGGATCGGGGGGCAGGCATCCCACGCACAGCCTAACCTGCTGAGCTGGGCTGCAGCGCCCCCCACCATGAGTCCTGTGAAGGTGGTTTACTGTGCTATTCATAGTTTTCCTCAGTTTGTCAGGCGATCCAGGTGAAGATCACACAGAGCCATCCAGTTGTGTGCCAGTGTAGTTTAACGTCTGGGCACCGTCTCCTTCCTGTCTGGGTTCCTTGTGTTCAGTGACCACGGCCTGGGCAGGAAGTCTGTTCTGAAACTCCTCCCCGTCCTGCAGGGAGCCTGAAACCCTGGCTCCGCCTTCAGGAGCTCTGAGTAAAAGCGAGGCCCGGCGCTCGGCGTGTGTGCGGCAGAGCCCCAGCACCGGGGCTCCCTCGCAGAGGACAGAAGGCTGCATTGTGCCGATAGCATTTGCAGTCAGTTTTTCCCTGCGTACGTCAGCCTCACAGGTGTGTTTTATGGCATGATCTGTTGTCAAATATGATTACTTAGGAATAAGCAAAGTGGTCTGTGTGCCATCTCTGGCGGCAACACAGAGCAGATTATTCGGAAGTGAGTTCCCTTTTGGTATTATCGCTTGTTGGATGGCACTGTGATGTCACTAGTTCTGCGTGCTGCTTCTGCAGCTAAGATCACGACTTGCCACAGGAGGAGATGGTGGCTCTGCATTTTGTTGCGTGCTGACGTTAGGCCAGAGCCTCGTAAACGGCTGCGTATGAGCAGAGTCATGAATAACGTCTTTTAAATGTTTCTGCTTCTAGAAAGTGGGAATTCTAAAAGAAGCGCAGTGGATTCCAAGGTAAGCACCACCCGCCCACTGCCCGGCTTCCCTGGACGTGTGTGAGTGCAGTCACCTGGGTACCGGCTGCACAGTGGAGGGCATTGATGTGCAGGCAATGGGACGTTGCCTGGGCTCCTGGTCAGGAAAGGCCGTGATACAGTAACGCTTGCTGAAGCTCACCCTGCCCAAAGTGCTGGGCAGGGCAGCCTTGGAGGAAGCAGGGACACCCCAGACACAGGGTGCCCAGGCTCTGGCCCGGGGGAAAGCCTTGGGGTGTGAAAGAAGAGGTCCTGCTGGGGCTGGTTAGTGGGTGGTAGGAGGAGTGGGGAGAATGGATGGTAGAAATAGAAGTGGAGAAGTTGGGGAAGTTTAGATTTGGGATCTCTGGACTTTTTTCAGTAAGGGGCATCCAAATACATTTTATTTTGATAGCTTTGTCAAGGTGTAATTGACATTCAATAAATTGCACTTCTTTAAAGCAACCGTTTGATAATCTTACTTATCATCAGTGAAGGTAGTGCACATGTGTATCACCCAAAGTTCCTCCTGCCCTTTGTGATCTCCCTCTCCTGCACCCGCGGGTTCGTCGTTGTAGTGTAGAGTTGGGTGGTGTGTAACCTCTGTTTTGTTTTGCACACTTACTTAGAGTTAACCGTGTGTGCTGTGTATCAGTAGTTCGTTTCTTTTCCTCACTTAGCGTTTGGGGTCAGGAGCGGAGTCCAGGTGGGGTCCGGCTGCAGCCTGGGTCTCTGTCTGGGGCTCTCTGGCGTGTTACGGTACAGGGCACTGTGGCAGGTGGCTCGGTCAGTGGGCTGCAGTTGGGTGTCAGTGGAGAGGCAGGGGAGAGCTGAGAGAGGAAGTGGGTGGAGGGTGACTGCCGTGCTCCGTGAACGGGATTTCACACGGATCCCGAAGTGATGGGACATGCCATCCTCAGAAAGCCCACAAATAAGAATGGTTTTTCTCAGTTAATTTTAGTTTCAGTTAGCATACCTTCCCTGCTGGTATCATCCTTAAACGGGTTATTGTGTCTTTTTAGGTGACAGGCGAGAAATCCTTTTCTGTCCATACTAGTGGCGGTGCCGTTTCATTTCAGGTAGGTGTTAAATTTGCAGGCTTTTCTGTCAGGGAAGATGGGGTTCCCGAAGGAATTTTGTGTTTAGGGGGAGTCACCTGGGCGGGCTTGCAGTCACCGAACACAGTTAAAGCTTTGTAGGGACCCAGGAGGCAGGTGCTGTTAGCACACCCTGGGAGTCCCCTGTGCTGGAATGAACACCTCTGTGGCCGTGAGCCACAAGGACCAGCTTGCAGTCCAGTTTTGCCTGCCTGCTCCAATGACCCCTCGGCCGCTCTGACCCTGTTGAGCATGTGTCAAGTGTAGAATTCTGTACCGGAGGGGGCCGGTGCAGTGGTGCACTAGGTTAATCCTCCACCTGCGGCACCAGCATCCCATATGGGCGCCGGGTTCTAGTGCCGGTTGCTCCTCTTCCAGTCCAGCTCTCTGCTGTGGCCTGGGAAGGCAGTGGAGGATGGCCCAAGTGCTTGGGCCCTGTACCCCATGGGAGACCAGGAGGAAGCACCTGGCTCCTGGCTTCGGATTGGTGTGGCTCCGGCTGTGGCAGCCATTTGGGGAGTGAACCAACGGAAGGAAGACCTTTCTGTCTCTCTCTCTCTCACTGTCTGTAACTCTACCTGTCAAATAAATTAAAAAATAAAATAAAATAAAATTCTGTATCGGAAAGGACCCTTGGCAACGGTGTAGAGTGAGGCTGTCATCTCAGATGAGCTCACCGAGGCCCAGTGGCCGTGTGTGGCCAGCCCCGTGGTCACAGCGCAGTGAGGTTGGATGACAGTATCACAGTGTATGTACGTGAATGGTGCATTGCCCGGGCCTCACAGCCCGCTACCGAGTGACCCTGGACAGCTCACTTTGTGTCTGTGCCTCACTGTGAATCATCTAGAAACGGAAAGTGGGGCCAGTATGTGGGGCAGTGGGTTAGTCACTGCCTGTGATGCCGGCTTCCCACGAGTCCTGGCTGCTCTGCTTCCGAGCCAGCTTCCTGCTAAAGTGCCTGGGAAGGCAGGGGATGAGGCTCAAGTACTTGGGCCCCTGCCAGCCACATGGGAGACCTGGGTAGTGTTCCTGGCTCCTGGTTTCAACCTGGCCCAGGCCAAGCTGTTGCCGCCAACAGGGGAGTGAACCAGTGGGTGAAAGATCTCTCTCTCTCTCTGTCACTTCTGCCTTTCCAATAAAAAGTCTTAAAATAGAAATGAGAAACGGGAGGGGAGGTAGCAGCATGGCGATGGACAGATGCCGCTGCCGCCTGCACGCCGCGTCCTGTTCTGGAGCGCTGGTTTGTGTCCCGACCTGGCTTCCTGCCAGCGCACCCACCACGGGAGGTGCACCAGCGGGCAGGACCAGCCGGTCGGTCTGTCTGCCCCCTCTGTCTCTTCACCTCTCACTGCAGAATGCTTGTTCACAAAGGTCGTGTTTGCAGGTGTTTCGGGGGCCACAGGATGTCCTCATCGGGGCCTGGTGCTCGGTGCTGGGTTTGTGGGGAGGGAGCAGCCTGGTGGAGATGGGCGCCCGCGCTGCCGGAGCCTGCAGGGCTTGGCCGGCTCCCTCGCGCCCTCTCTGTCTTTGCCGCCCCCTGGCCACGTGCTGGGACTGCAGCTTGGGCCCTCAGCCTTTGTGCCTCCTGCTGGAAAAGCACTGCCTGTCCGCCTGCAGCCAGCCCTGGACTTCACTGTTCTGTTTCACTGTTTCTTTAAGGTTCGGGTGTCTACTGTCATCAGCCTTGGTGGTTCTGTTGATTTTTTTAAAATCTCAAACTTTTATACCATTTTTAGACTTCTTCTTTCAGTCTTATTTTTAGAACAAAATATGTTTGATAAACTTTTCCCTTTCTGGCTACCTGAATGGATTAAAATTCACGCTGTCACATTTACATAGGAATTTGGGATGATTTAGCAGAGGAACAATTTCAGCTGCGTATTCTTGGTCTTTTGTTTCTGTCTCCTCGGGTGTTTCTGTCCCATGCTGTGGTATACGTGCCTGCGGTACTTCCACTGTGTTTAACAAGCAACTGTAAATAATCAGCTTTATTCCATCACCCAGGACAGGCACGAAGAGTGGTGCTGGTACCCCAGGGTCCTGTGTGCCCCTCGAGCCCCTTCCCGACTCTGGGATAACCGATGGGAGCCACACTGTCACAGTCCTCGTCGTCCCCCAAGTGTGCATATATGTTAGGCTCTAAACAATATATTAAAACAGATTCCTTTGTTTTTTAAAGATTTATTTTTTATTTATTTGAAAGGCAGAGTCCACAGAGAGAGATCTTCTATCCGCTGGTTCACTCCCCAAATGGCTGCAATAGCTAGGGCTGGGCCAAGCCAAAACCAGGAGCCCGGAGCTTCTTCCAGGTCTCCCACATGGGTGCAGGGGCCCAAGGACTTGGGCCATCTTCCACTGCTTTCCAGGTGCATTGGCAGAGAGCTGGATCTGAAGTGGAGCAGCCGGGACTCAAACCGGTGCCCATATGGGATGTTGGCATTGAAGGCAGAGGCTTAACTTGCTGTGCCACAACGCTAGCCCCAGCAGATTCTTTTTTGTGGCTAGAATTTTTGCTAATAGTAAAATGTTTGTAGAATTGACCAAGGAGGCGCCCGGTGGGAGACATGGAAAAAGCTCCTGGCTTTGGCCTGGCCCAGCCCTGACCATTGCAGCCATCTGAGGAGTGACCCAGCAGATGGAAGATCAGTCTCTCTGTGTCTCTCCTCTCTGTCTCCATAACTCTTTCTCAAATAAATAACTAAATCTTTAAGAAAAATATTGATGAAGGACTCACATTCTGTATGTGTGTGTGTGTAGTCTCTCAGTTACATGAAACTTCATTTCAATCTATGAAATATATGAAAAGCAGAAAAAAAATGTGGGCCTGGATATGGTTGTCTAAAATCGCAGGTTTAAGTTTTTTCTTTCTTTCTTTCTTTTACAGGGTAAGTTTTGATGATGGAATATTAACTCTTTGCAAGTAGATGTTGAACCTCCTTTTTTTTCTTTTATTAAATAGTATTTCTTTGTTTTGCCCAAACTGCAAAATGACGTGTTGACCTTAAACCTAGGGAACTGTGTCTTAGATGACCTCTACAGGCTTCTGTGCCAGCCACCAGAGCTGGACGTACGTGAGAGAGCAAGCATGGAACGTGGCGGTTGTTGACCCCGGTCGTGGGCTTACAGGCACTCACTGTGCGATTCCGACAGCTCCTCTGTATGCTTGAAAAGTGGTTGTTACACAGCAGAGTGTTGGGAGGGGATCGTAGGATGAGAAAGCCCCCATTTAAACTCTGCTTTAGGAGAATTTAAGCCCATTAAACACGTAATTTTTTCCTGCGAGTTAAAACTTCAGCCGAAAATTTGGGTGCGCTTACCTTTTTTTCTTCTTCACTTGCAGTTTTTCTTTAACATCAGCACCGATGACCAAGCGGGCCTTTACAGCCTGTATTTTCACAAGTGCCCTGGGAAGCACTCGCAGCCTGTGGACAAGTTTTCCTTCAGCCTGGACGTGAGTACCCTATGAAGAACATTCCACGTGGGTTTCATCAGCAGGAAACGCCAGATACTTAGTGCTCCATAAGAATAGCTTTTTCTTGGGGCCGGCGCTGTGGCACAGCGGGTTAAAGCCCTGGCCTGAAGCGCCAGCATCCCATATGGGCGCTGGTTCTAGTCCTGGCTGTTCCTCTTCCAATCCAGCTCTCTGCTATGCCTGGGAAAGCAGTAGAAGATGGCCCAGGTCCTTGGGCCCCTGCACCCGCGTGGGAGACCTGGAAGAAGCTCCTGGCTCCTGGCTGCCGATTGGCGCAGTTGCGGCCATCTGGGGAGTGAACCAGCGGGTGGAAGACCTCTCTCTCTCTCTCTCTCTCTCTCTCTCTCTGTAACTCTGACTTTCAAATAAACAAATATTTTTTTAATTTTTTTCTTTTATTTTTACAGAATTATAGTATAGACAGTGAGAGAGAGATAGACAGAGAGAAAGGTTCCATTGGTTCACTCTGCAAATGGCCGCTACGGCCGGTGCTGCGCCGATCTGAAGCCAGGAGCCAGCTGCTTCCCAATCTCCACAAATAAATCTTACAAAGAAAAAGAAAAAGAAAAATCTATTCCTTTTTTTTTTTTTTTTAAGATTTATTTATTTATTTGAAAGTCAGAGTTATACAGAGAGTCAGAGAGAAAGGGGTCTTCCATCCACTGGTTCACTCCCCAGATGGCTGCAACAGCTGGAGCTGCACCTATCTGAAGCCAGGAGCCAGGAGCTTCTTCCAGGTCTCCCACACGGATGCAGGGGCCCAAAGACCTGGGCTATCTTCTACTGCTTTCCCAGGCCATAGCAGAGAGCTGGATCAGAAGTGGAGTAGCCAAGTCTCGAACCGGCGCCCATATGGGGTGCGGGCACTTCACTTCAGGCCAGGGCTTTAACCCACTGTGCCACAGCGCCAGCCCCAATTTTTCTTTTTAATATCAGGGCATTTTTTTTTTTTCCTATTCAGCCATCTTGGAATCCTACTTATTTACTTTAACGATTTATTTATTTGAAAGACAGAGTTACAGAGAAAAAGAGGGAGAGACAGGGAGGTCTTCATCTGCTGGTTTACTCTCCAAATGGCCACAACGGCAGGAGCTGGACCAGGCTGAAGCCAGGAGTCAGGAGCTTCTCCCGGGTCTCCCACGTGGGTGCAGGAGCCCAAGGACTTTGGCCATCTTCGGCTGCTTTCCCAGATGCATTATCAGGGAGCTGGAGTGGAAGGAGAGCAGCTGGAACGTTAGCCGGCATCCATATGGGATGGCTTAACCGGCGACAGTACAATGCCAGCCCCAGGAACAGATTTTTAGGACACTTAAAGCAAGAGAGAGATGCGACCGGACGAACGTGCTCGCCAGTGGGCAGGAACGCCGAGCCGTGTAGGAAGTGCGCGCACAGCCTGTGCCCTAGGCAAGTGCTTGTTAGGTGGGCACTGCCCTCTGACGCCGAGGGCGCAGCCAGAGGGCAGCTTGCAGAGGCAGGGCTGATCTTTCTCTGAAAAGCACAAACTCATCCCCGCTGGTTCCAGGTTAGGATCACAGAGAAGAACCCTGACAGCTACCTCTCCGCGGGAGAAATCCCGCTGCCCGCGCTCTACATCTCTGCGGCGTTCTTCTTCTTCCTCTCGGGGACCGTCTGGATCCACATCCTTCGGAAGAGAAGGTGAGCGCCTCCTCGGCTCCTTGGGCCTGGGGCAGGGGCGCTTCAGGGCGCTGCGTGTCCTCTGTGCCTTAGCTGCCTGCGGCCCCGGGGGGATTTGGCCTGGAGCAGTTGTTCTTCTGGGCGCCTTCCCTGATCCCTCGGGGCCTTGCAGGAGCCTTGCCAGCCCAGAAGGCCTTTGTCTGCCTTGCTGTGGGGCACTTCCCACTGCGTTTAGAAAGCAAATCCAGACATTCAATAATGTGCAAGCAGAGTAAAGCAGAGTGCTTCCCTGGTGGAGCCCTCCCGTCCGGGGTGCTGGAGGGGTGCATGGGTGCCCTCGGGCTTGGTTCTGGAGAGGAGATGAGCAGGGCCCACCACGGCCTGCCTGGGAGCAGAGGCGTTCCGTGTAGTCCCGGAGGCGACCTGGAGCCTGGCGGGGATGGGTTTTGTGTCTTGACCCTGTGCCTGTCGCCGGGGAAAACCTCTGCAAAGCCCACCTGCCTGGCCCGGGCCTTCATCTGAGAGCCTGGGGGCTCCACCTTCCTGTACTGGGTGCTGAGGACAGTGAGTGTGGGGATTCTCTGTTCACCTCACAGAGCTGAGACCAGAACCCCGAAGGCCCATTTAGGGAGTACCGCAAAGTGCTTGTCATAGTCCAGAAGCTGGATTGCCTTCCAGTGGGCGTGCGCGGGGCCTGGTGGACCAGACCGGCTGGGTGCATTGCTGGCACCTGTTTGTTGCAGCATCTTTTTTTATTCTTTTAAATATGTATATTTATTTTAAAGGTAGAGTTACAGAGAGAGGGAGAGAACTTCCATTGCAGGTTCACTTCCCAAAAGGCTGAACCGGCTAGGACTGGGCCAGGTCAAATCCGTGAGCCAGGAGCTTCATCTGGCCTCCCAAGTGGGTGCAAGGGTCCAGGCACTTGAGCCATCTTCTGCTGCTTTCAGGCTCATTTGTAGAGAGCTGGATCAGAAGTGGAGCAGCTGGGGCTTGAACCGACGCCCATGTGGGATGCTGGAGCTGCAGGCAGTGGCTTAACCCGTTGTGCCCTGATGCTGGCTCCTGCAGTATCTTATATGCGCCACGTGGAAGAGTTTCTGGTTTCCTTGGTGTGGTCTGTGTAATCCTGTTTGGAATAGGTTATCAGGAAGCCATCACCAAGAAAGAAGGAAGCCTGTGAATTCAGACGGCTGTTTGTTAGAAAACAGCGAGGGGTCAGAAGTGTCGGCTGTGACCGTGACGGCCGTGTGCCTCGCTTCTTTCTTCAGTTTCTCCTTCCTCAGGTTCAGACCTGGGGCAGGACTCATCGCTGCCTTCCCCTGTGAGGTCCTTAGGTTTGCTGTGTGGTCCCCCACGGCAGGGTGTGTGAGAGGGCCTCGTCCAGCAGGTGCTCTGGGATGTGGACTGGCCACGTTCGGTGGTTTGTAGTTTCCCTTGGTGTTGGCAAGGTCACTCACATAGAATTGTAGGAACAGTTTCAGTCGGTGGTTGGATAAGGCTTGTACTCTGTACAAGTCATGTTGTTAGCTTTTGGTGGTGGTGTCGTACTCACAGAAAGGTGTCATTTCAGCCATCCTGTGTTTTTCTGGGAGTCTTAAAGCATGGGTTGGAAATTTAGGTATAAAGGGTAACGTCTATAGCGACTGTTCTTTCTTTAAAAGTAATTTTATTTCAAAGGCAGAATGACAGAGAAAGAAGGGAGGGAGAAAGAGATCTTCCCTCTGTTGATTCGTTCCCCAAATGCCCACAAGAGCCCGGGCTGGGCCAGGCTGAAGCCAGAAGCCAGGAGCTCCATCCGGGTCTCACACCTGGGCGGCAGGGGTGCAAGCACTTGGCCGTCACCTGCTGCCTCTCAGACGCATTCGCAGAAAGCTGGAGTGGAAGAGGAGCAGCTGGGACTTGAACCAGTGCTCTGATGCTGGGCTGTGCCAGAGGCCCGCCCCTGCGTACTGTTCTTGCACATGTTCCTCTCAGTAACGTCCTCTTTTGATGGACCCACATCCCTGTGTACCTCTAGCTCATAGATTTGTGGCTTTAGCCTTCCGTGGGCTGCGTCCTCGCCTGCCTCTGTCTCCCTGGCCCCTAGACGGTGCTGTCAGAGCCTCCCTCCCGCCTCCCGCCTCCCGCCTCCCGCCTGCCCTGGGCATCTCTGCAGCCTCTGAGGGCCAGTCCCTGAAGGAGGTGCGCTGGCTTGCGAAGGGCTCTGGTTTTTTTTTTTTTTTTTTTTTTTTTTTTTTTTTTTTTTTTTTTTGACAGGCAGAGTGGACAGTGAGAGAGGGAGAGACAGAGAAAGGTCTTCCTTTTGCCGTTGGTTCACCCTCCAGTGGCCTGCGCGCTGCGGCCGGCGCACCGCACTGATCCGATGGCAAGAGCCAGGTACTTCTCCTGGTCTCCCATGGGGTGCAGGGCCCAAGCACTTGGGCCATCCTCCACTGCACTCCCTGGCCACAGCAGAGAGCTGGACTGGAAGAGGGGCAACCGGGACAGAATCCAGTGCCCCGACCGGGACTAGAACCCGGTGTGCCGGCACCGCAAGGCAGATTAGCCTAGTGAGCCGCGGCGCTGGCCTTCTGGTTTGGTTTTGTGGCATACTGCCGGACTGCTGGTTTATGGTGCTGCCAGCAATGCGTGAGGGCTCCGACGGCCATGTACTCAGCAGCAGTGTACGTCTCTGATGGGAGTGATGTGGGCTATTGTTTCAGGACTTGTTCACCCCTGGGAGTGTGTGCTGTGTGTACTGGGTTTTCTTCTAGCTTTTTTGCATATTGGTCAAGCCCATGGGTATCTTATCCATTGCAGTTTCTTCCAGTTAAACCTCTCTGTGATACTCATGGTTAAATGAAAATCTTCCATTTTAACAGTCAAAGCTGTTTAACTATAGTCTTCTGGTTGGGTCCCTTGGATCTTACGAAGCCCTTTTGTATGGGCCCTGCACTCACAGGGAGACCCAGGAGAAGCTCCTGGCCCTTGGCTTTGGGTCAGCGCAGCTCCCGCCATTGTGACCATTTGGGGAGTGAACCAGCGGATGAAAGACTTTTCTCTGTCTCTGCCTCTGCCTCTGTAACTCTGCCTTTCAAATAAATAAATCTTTTTTTAAAAAAGTGACAGATTTTTTCTTTTTTAAAAAGAAACTTTCTCCTCTCAAGTCCCAAGGCCACAGGATGCGTATTTGAGATCCATCTTGCACCCTCCTGTGTGTCAGTGTGAAGCACAGGTCAGCACTGATTTTTCTCTCTGTGGAGGTATGAGCTGATTCCTCTTCTCTGTTCCAGTTCCTTCTTAACGTTTTCAGTTTTCGTTTTATTTGGAAGGCAGACAGAGCTCTTGCATCCGCTGGTTAACTCATGTCCTGTGTGGCTGTTCATGGAGCTCTCTTTCTCTCAGCAGTGGGCTTGTATGTCGTAGTGGATTGGTTCCCAGGAGGAGGTGGAAGTGGTACAGGAATTCAGTGCCTGGTAGCCGTAGGGTGACCTGGCAGACCTGTGGGGGGTGGGGGTGGGACGGGGATGGGGTGCCTCGCTCATGGCCTGCTGTGATTGGCAGGTACCAGCCATGACGGAGCAGAAAGGGACACGATCCTTCACCTGTTCTTGTAGGCCCCTGGGCTGTAGGCTTCCTGGTAGCTGTACCCAGTCACTCTGCTTTCCCAGGGATTTTTTTTTTTTCCAAAGATTTATTTATTTGAAAGGCAGAGTTATGGGGGACAGAGGAGGGGGAGGGCAGAAAGAGATCTTCCATCCGCTGGTTCACTCCCCAATGGCTGCAGCAGCCAGGACTGGGCCAGGCTGAAGCCAGGAGCCAGGAGCTTCTTCCAGCTCTCCCACGTGGGTACAGGGGCCCAAGCACTTGGGCCATCTTGTGTTGCTTTCTCAGGCACATTAGCAGGGAGCTGGATTGAAGGTGGAGCAGCCAGGACTCAAACTGGCACCCGTATGGGCTGCAGGCGGCGGCCCCTTTCCCGGATTTTGTGTTGTGTTCCTGGGTCCGTCGCCTCATTCTTGCCTCCGGGACCTGCGCGGGTGGTTTCCGAGGGAGGCCGGCAGCCTGTGCTAGGTTTCCGTCTTGGCAGGGCCTGGAATCCGTCAGGTCAGCCTGCCGTGTGTGACGGTTCCCTTCCCAACATTAAATCATAGATCAGAGACGGCTGGGACGAGACGACTTTTTGTACAGAGGCTTCCTGCTTGTGGTTGCTGGGGTTCTGTGTACTCCCTCCTTGTAAATCGATGCCCGGAGCCCTGTCCGTCTGTCTGCAGACTGGAGTCTCTGTTAACGCCTGCCTCTCTTCACAGGAACGATGTGTTTAAAATCCACTGGTTGATGGCGGCCCTTCCCTTCACCAAGTCTCTCTCCCTGGTGTTTCATGCAGTATGTATTCGCGTTTTGGGGATCATTTGTGGGGTGATGCACATGCCAACAAGAGCAGGCAAAGGAATTAGGAGAAGGCAGTAGACTGTGGGAAGCGGGGGGACCAGGCCTCTTAGAAAGTCTCCTTTTGACGGGGTGGGGCCAGGGCCGGGCCATCTGCAGTGACCACAGCCTCCCTGCCAGGCAGGCTCCAGTCGCCCGATCCCCCTAGGAACCTGGCGTCACGAGCACCTGCTTCTGGTGGCGATCTCATTCCTGAGATGGCAGTGCCACCTGCTGCGCTGCTTCCTGGCTTCCTTTATTTCTCTAGACCCCCGTGTTGCTGCTCATTTGAGAGTTCAGCGTCAGCAGGCTTCTTTGAGAGACAACGATGCGAGCTTTGGCTGTGAGCTGCTACAGATTAAAACAAGCTTTTCCCGGGCTGCGGGCCTCGCCCGTGGCGGTGACAGTGACAGTCTCCAGACAGGCCTCTGCTGCACTCGACAGTGCTGTCATAGGAAAAGGCGCAGCGCATCCACTCACAGTGGCAGGAAAAGACAGTCATTTGGCTGACTTCCCGTTTGATGTGGGTTAAGTGATTCTTTGTGGAGCCTCAGAGAGAACGAGGGAAGGCTCCTTGAGTCCTGCAGTGACAGCAGTGTCACCTTGTAGGTTCTGCCGGCAGGAGTTGTGGGTGTGTCACTAGAAATTGCCACTGCATGGCCGGCGCCGCGGCTCACTAGGCTAATCCTCCACCTTGCGGCGCCGGCACACCGGGTTCTAGTCCCGGTCGGGGCGCCGGATTCTGTCCCGGTTGCCCCTCTTCCAGGCCAGCTCTCTGCTGTGGCCAGGGAGTGCAGTGGAGGATAGCCCAGGTGCTTGGGCCCTGCACCCCATGGGAGACCAGGAAAAGCACCTGGCTCCTGGCTCCTGCCATCGGATCAGCGCGGTGCGCCGGCCGCAGCGCGCCGGCCGCGGTGGCCATTGGAGGGTGAACCAACGGCAAAAGGAAGACCTTAAAAACTTTTTAAATATATAGATTTATTTATTTATTTATTTAACAGAGAGAGAGAGAAAGGGTTTCCATTTGCTGGTTCGCTCCCCAGATGGCTTTAACAGCCACAGCTGGGCCCGGCTGGAGCCCCCCCCCCCCAGGTCTCCTACGCGGGTGCAGGGGCCCGAGCACTTGGGCCACCCCCCGCTGCTCTCCCAGGCCGTTAGCAGGATTGGAAGTCGAGCAGCAGGGAATCAAACCAGCTCCCACATGAGATGCCTGTGTCGCAGGCAGCGGCCCACCCCCCAGGCCACAGCGCCTGCCCCACCATACGGATTTTTTTTATTGACTGACTGACGGGAGCAGAGGGGAATGAGAGACACGGTTCTTGGCTGAGATGCCGAGTTCGGCATTTGGACCGTGGAGGTTTTAGAACACAGGAATCGTCTGCCAGGGTGTATCGCTTGCCTCAAGAGAGAGACCTGGGCTGGGAGTCCGTGACATTGAAATCTTGTGTTGTTTCTCAGGCTGCCTGCCTCTGTTAGGACACTCACTTGCTGAACTGAATTACCAAGTGTGCTCTGGGGCAGTGCTGGGGGAGGGCCAGCGCCGCTCTGGGGTCTTGGGGTCAGGTGGCGGGCCAGCCTCGCTGACGGGCGCTGTCTGCTTGCAGATCGACTACCACTACATCTCCTCCCAGGGCTTCCCCATCGAGGGCTGGGCCGTGGTGTACTACATAACCCACCTGTAAGTACCGTGTGCTTGTGTGTGTGTGTGTGTGTACTACATAACCCACCTGTAAGTACCGTGTGCTTATGTGTGCTTGTGTGTGTGTGTGTGTACTACATAACCCACCTGTAAGTACCGTGTGCTTATGTGTGTGTGTGTGTACTACATAACCCACCTGTAAGTACCGTGTGCTTATGTGTGTGTGTGTGTGTACTACATAACCCACCTGTAAGTACTGTGTGCTTATGTGTGTGTGTGTGTGTACTACATAACCCACCTGTAAGTACCGTGTGCTTATGTGTGTGTGTGTGTGTACTACATAACCCACCTGTAAGTACCGTGTGCTTGTGTGTGTGTATATGTGTATGTGTACTACATAACCCACCTGTAAGTACCGTGTGCTTATGTGTATGTGTGTGTACTACATAACCCACCTGTAAGTACTGTGTGCTTATGTGTGTGTGTATGTGTACTACATAATTCACCTGTAAGTACCGTGTGCTTATGTGTGTGTGTGTGTGTACTACATAATTCACCTGTAAGTACCGTGTGCTTACGTGTATGTGTGTGTGTGTACTACATAACCCACCTGTAAGTACCGTGTGCTTGTGTGTGTGTGTGTGTACTACATAACCCACCTGTAAGTACTGTGTGCTTGTGTGTGCGTGTGTGTACTACATAACCCACCTGTAAGTACCGTGTGCTTACGTGTATGTGTATGTGTGTACTACATAACCCACCTGTAAGTACCGTGTGCTTATGTGTGTGTGTGTATATGTGTACTACATAACCCACCTGTAAGTACCGTGTGCTTGTGTGTGTGTGTGTGTGTGTACTACATAACCCACCTGTAAGTACCGTGTGCTTGTGTGTGTGTGTGTACTACATAACCCACCTGTAAGTACCGTGTGCTTGTGTGTGTGTGTGTACTACATAACCCACCTGTAAGTACCGTGTGCTTGTGTGTGTGTGTGTGTGTGTGTGTACTACATAACCCACCTGTAAGTACCGTGTGCTTGGACGGACAGCTGGGCGCGGCTGGGGAGCGTGCACCGGTGTGCATCCTTGTCCAGACTTGAGGACCGGGCGAGTGGCGGCTCCTGCCTGTCTGCCCTGTGCTGCTCACATGGGACGCACTCGCGGAGGTCGGCTGCCGGTCTTTGCGAGAAGCCCGTGAAGTCACAGAATTGGCTGTGTAGGCGGACTGTGGTGACTCTAAACTGTTTTCTCCCCCAGTCTGAAGGGGGCGCTGCTGTTCATCACCATCGCACTCATCGGCACTGGCTGGGCTTTCATTAAGCACATCCTCTCGGATAAGGACAAAAAGATCTTCATGATCGTCATCCCACTGCAGGTAACTGCCCCTCTCGGCCCTCGTCACCTCCTGTCTTGGCACTTGGCAGAGCTCAGCGCAGGTCTGTGTGGGTGGGAGGAAGGATTCGGCTCCTGGAGGTCGGGGCTCTCTGGGACTTCTGATGGACTGTCTGTAGGCCTTTGCCCCGGCGAGGGAGTTTGGCCCTCAGCTACCTGTAACCTGGCCTGTGGGCGCCTACACCGGCCGTGGGGCTGCTGAGAAGCTGGGGCGCCCTGCCTCCTCGCCGGCATCTTTCTGTCCTGGGAGCGAGGGCGCTCCAGTGAGTACGAGAGCCCTCTAACAGCCTGACGCCAGGGAGCCCCACGGGGCAGAAGGCAGCCGCAGACTGCCGGGCCGAGGCCTCATTCCGCCCGGCTGTGTTAGGGGCCTTAGACTGAGGCCCGCCTTCCAAGGCCAAGCGCCCGTCGGGAGAGCCTGGTCTCGCACTTGGCAGTCACGCTGGAGACAGAACTTGGGCAGAAAGAGCTGATGGTGAGCCGAGACGTCATTGCGGGCTTGCACGAGTGCTCTCCTGACCGGGGTACGTGGAAAATGGGATTGAAAGAAGTTATTTTAGTTCAGAAATTCTGAAATCCACCCACAGTTTTCTCATGCACATTTTCCAGGAACTTTTTGGAGACCTCTCAAATGCGTTTGACTCTTTTTTTTTTTTTTTTTTAACACCAGAATAAACTTTTTATTCCGTCTCCATGAACTTTTGGAGTGCTCCTGGTTGTGTCTGAGAAGGCGTTCTCATTAGCTGGTCTCAGGGTCTGGCGTGCTGTCGGCCAGCCCGTGCGCCTCTGCTGATTGGCGGATGGCGCAGTTCCCAGCAAAGGCCCGCCCCGTTCAGTCGTGGAGAGCCCACGTTGGCACCACCACTGACTGGTCCCTCAGGGTTTCCACTAAGCTGGGTGTCCCAGGAGAGGAATGGGACGGAGGCAGGGGGCAGCCGCCGAGCATGCCACTGCGGAGCTGTGAGGTCACTGGCTGCCGCGCCACCAGGCCCTGTCCCCGGCCACACTGGGCTTCGGCCTGCCAGCGTCTCAGAGCGCGTGCTCCATGGGCCTGGCTCCTCTCCTCCCCTTGCCCTGCTGCTGCCGGGCCCCTCACCCAGTGGGTTAGAGCCCCTGTCCCCTGGCCAGAACCGTGGGCCCCAGGGCTTCTGTCCAGCTTTCCCACTGTGTGCTCCAAGATGAGCACACGGGTGCAGGGGACCCCGTGCGGAGCAAGGACCCTGGAAGCAGGGCCAGCAGCAGGTCGTGAGCATCTGCACGGTGCTGCCTGGGAGGTCTTGACTGTCTACCACTGGCCCGGGGAGAGACTGCCAGGGAGTGCAGGGGCACAGGCGGGACAGTGTCGGAGGAATGTCCCCCAGACACCTCCCCAGCATCTGTCTCAGCAAAGGGCGGGAGTTCTGGACGGCGCCCGGGAGCAAACATTTCAGACAGGCTGGGCTTCGGGAAGGAGCTGACTGACAGGTGACCGCTGCGTGTGTGTTAGGTTTGCCTTTGTGGGAATTCACTCTGTAACTTCTGTGTAAGGAGAGACTTCCCGGTGACACAGTGAACTGCACGTTCTTACAGCAAGTCAAGCAGAGAATTTGGGACGGGGTTTCCCTGGTGCACAGACGCGTTCACCGTGCGTGCCGGATGCTAGTCTGCGAAGAATCCCTGCATTGTGACTTTGGTGTAGCCAGCGGAAACTCCGTGTCACGTGCCGAGAGCCTGGTCCCGGGAGTAAGCACATCGGCCGCACCCTGACTTTGGAAGCCTGCTGGGCTGGCTCCTGGGAGGAGCCGTGTGGGTGCTCAGCTGTGGGCTCGGAGCACCAGCCACACCCAGGGAGCACGTGGCCTCGTGGCCTGGTGGCGTGGACGGCCTGAGTGAGTCCACTGAGGCTCGAGGTGCCTCCAGAGCAGTGCCGAGCGTCTTGCCTACCTCTTTTTTTTTTTTTTTTTTTTTTTTTGACAGGCAGAGTGGACAGTGAGAGAGAGACAGAGAGAAAGGTCTTCCTTTGCCGTTGGTTCACCCTCCAATGGCCACTGCAGCTGGCGCACTGCACTGATCCGATGGCAGGAGCCAGGTACTTTTCCTGGTCTCTCGTGGGGTGCAGGGCCCAAGCACCTGGGCCATCCTCCACTGTACTCCCTGGCCACAGCAGAGAGCTGGCCTGGAAGGGGGGTGACCGGGACAGAATCCGGCGCCCCGACTGGGATTAGAACCCGGTGTGCCAGCACCGCAAGGCGGAGGATTAGCCTAGTGAGCCCCGGCGCCGGCCTTGCCTAACTCCTTATCACCCCACAGTGACTTAAAGGAACTTAAAGTGACTTAGTGACTTAAAGGAACAGTAACCAGTAATTCTCTCTGCTTCTTGAGGTCAAGAGTTTGAGAGTGGCTTGCCTGGGTAGGACTGGCGTGGGGTCCTGCGCGGGTGTCAATGGGCAGTGCCCGGGTCTGTGGCATCTTGAAGTCGATTAGGCTCTTGTCTCCCCGGCTGGGAAGACACGACCTGAGCAGCTGGTGCGCCTCGTGTGTGTGTTCTTCTGCTCCTGCATTTGGGATGGCCACACTGCTTACCAAGGCCCCGGGAGCACCAGGCCGAGCCGGCTGTCCACCCTGGAGATCACACGGTACCTCGTCTACCTTACCTGTTGGTCACAGCCATCACATGCCTGCCCACAACCAAGGCTGCCACAGAGAGTCAGCTCCTCAGAGGCAGGATGGCAGAGCCCTGGGAGAATCCAGGGGCCCAGCAGTGTTGCCCTGGCCCTGGGCTGGGGTCCTGCAGGCCCGGGTGTACCCCTGGCCCTGGGCTGGGGTCCTGCAGGCCCGGGTGTACCCCTGGCCCTGGGCTGGGGTCCTGCAGGCCCGGGTGTACCCCTGCTGTGCAGGTGCTCTTGTTAACAGCCGCCCGTGCCTCGTGCCCCGCAGGTCCTGGCCAATGTGGCCTACATCATCATCGAGTCCACTGAGGAGGGCACCACGGAGTACGGCCTGTGGAAGGACTCCCTGTTTCTGGTGGACCTGCTGTGCTGCGGAGCCATCCTCTTCCCAGTGGTGTGGTAAGTGCCGCTGCCCCTCTGTGTGGGCACCGCCCTGCTTGGCTGTGAACCCCGCCAGCCAAACTGGCTGCTTCCGAGGGGTCCGGATCACACAGGGCGCCTGTGAAAAACACGGCTCTCCGGGCTCCAGACTGACCCAGGCTGGCCTCCAGGGGCGGGGCCCTGTGTCTTTGTTATGTGCCCGGGGGATTCTGTCAGAAGCAGTCTGGCTCTGTGGAGTGACGCTCAGCACAGTCTAGGACAGTGGAGTCCAGCCGCAAGGGAGGACTTGGTAGCAACACGAAAGAGCAGCCTGAATGTGCGGGAAGGGAGCTGAAGAATCCCATTCACTGCCGTCCCGGCACGTTGGACGGAAAGTGAGGAAGGACGTCAGCCTGACACCGCTGGGAGCCGGCGGCTCAGACGTGGTCGCCCTGGAGAGTGGGTCGCTCTGTTCCCGAGAAGGGCGGCCTGGCACAGTGTCGAGAGGTGTTAGTGCTGGTTAGTGGTGGAGGAGAAGGACTGTGCTTGTCAGTCACCTGGCTAGGGCCGGAGGGCCTGGGCCAGCAGGAACCCGGGCGGGGGAAGCCCTCCGCCCCCTGGAGATCCGCATGCAGGCCTGTGATGCTGTTGCCTGCCTCCCGTGCCCTGGAGACGTGAGAGGCTGCGAGGGAGGGAGTGTTAGGATCCTGGGCTCGGCGGGCCGTTTGGTTACGAGGGAGGGAGTGTTAGGATCCTGGGCTCGGCGGGCCGTTTGGTTACCCTGAGTGTTCAGGGCACATTGCGGGGGATCATGAGCCTTTCCCAGCAATGAGAGCCACACTCACCCAGTTCCATTGCCGTGTGTCTCTCGGCACCGGCGGCTGAGACTCGTCAGCACAGCCGCCCCGCGTGAGCGAGTAGCCAGTGTCCGTAGCGCAGGACAGTGGGCGCTGTCTGCAGACCAGGGGACAGGTCCCCTGTGCAGCTGTGGAGTGCAAGGGGCCACTTCCTGCCACTTGTTCCTTAAAGCCCCAGGGAACAGCTGCTAAGTGGCAAATACCTGAAAGTGGCTAGAAGGTGCCAAGGTACCAGACACGTTACTGCAGAAACAGGATCCCCGAGTCTTTCAGAAGCGCATTCAGCTGGTGTGGTGCCGGTGTCCTCCAGCAGGCGGCCCCCACGGGGGGAGGGCCACTGCCGAGGCTTTAGGACACATGGGTGATGAGAGTGAGCCCCAGCGTTGGGCCAGGGGCCCGGCCCACTCCCCACGCAGCCCTATCTGCCTCGCTAGCCTTGAACGCTGTCTCGTTCTCTGATCGAGGGCTTCCTTAATCACGTTAGCTTCCCCCGCCCGAGCTGTAATGAGGTAATTAGTTACCGGCACAGCAGAGCCAAAAAGAGACTCCCAGGAGGCCGGCGTTTTCCCGGTTACAAATCTGCGCTCGACGGAATGGATGTGTGTGACGCCGTGTGTTCACGGCTCCTAGCCCTAGGCTCCAGGCGGGGGCTTTGTCCTGGGGCCGATTTGCTCCCCTGTTGGTGAGCTCCCCACCATCTGCTGTTTCCGGAGTGTTGGGTGGGGGGTGGCCGTGGGAATGAGAGCACCGACGGAGGCCAGATGCCTTTGTGTTGTTTCCGCCTCCGGTTGCGGCCCCTGTCAGACTCATGGCCGCGGAGCCGCCACTGGAGGGGGTCTTCGCCTCTCTGGCTGGGCGCCATGCTTGAGAAGAGTTGGTGACCAAAGATCACTTTTTAGGGGGAGGCTGTCGTCAGTGTATCATCAAGGAAGCCAGAGCCTCCAGTGACGGAGGCCGCAAGTGGAGGAGAGTCCGCGCCTCAGCTGACCTCTTGTTCCCCCGTGTTTATTTGTAGGTCAATCAGGCACTTACAGGAGGCATCAGCAACAGATGGCAAAGGCAAGTTCCCCGTGCTGCTTGGCGCTCCTGGGGCTCACGCGTCGGGGCACTGCTGGCCTAGGAGCAGCGGGGCTGGTTGGGTGAGCCGTCAGGAGGCCGAGGGTGGGGCGGGGTGCTACTTGTTGAGATGAATCCTTGCGTGGTCGCTGGTGATGGTGTTTGTCACTTCCCCAAACGGAGTCAAAGAAAGCCTTGTCTGGGCAGGGCCAGGTGCCCCTCGGCTGTGAGAACGGGAGGTCCTGTGCCGGGGCGGCTTCCTCCCGCGCGGACACTGCCCAGGGGACGGGTCGGTGCTCACTTACAGTGAGACTGCGCCCACGGCACGTTCCCGACTGCACGAGAGCCCCGCTGCGCCTCCCCGACCGTCCGGTCGCGCCTCCTGGATCGCAGGAGAAGCGCAGGGGAGGTGTCGTGCGTGTTTCTGGGCGGGCTGCCGGGACAGAGACAGGAGTTTGAGAGCAGTGCTCGCCGGGGTCTGTGCTGCCCCTTGCCCCAGCACCTCACTCCTGCCCGACACAGACACCTGTTTGTGTTGTTCAGCCTTTCTGACGGTAGACGTTCTGTCGATTCGTTTTAGACAAATGGGGTGCTAAGGTGACCACAAGTCTTACTTTACAGACTTGGTATCCAATCAGTAGTCCACTGTTGCTTTGAACTAAGCTGGATTTGACGTGCACACCAGGGCCGGGCAGGCTCAGTGGGGTCTTACTTAGGGCTCTTGGGAGACTGCCCCTCCCCCCTGGCCCCGAGTCCTTGCTGCCATGGCTCCTGCCGGCCAGTCTCACAGGCCTCTGTCGCTGCTGGGCAGCCTTGCGGTGAGAACCTGGCCTGGCACCAGCGGCCGTGCTGTGAGTCTCCCAGGGCCCTGGGCCCCAGGGGGAGCCTGTGCCAGTGTTTGTTTTCCCTCCAGCCCTGGGATGTGCCCTGTCTCTTGTTCTCTCTTCTTTTCCTTCCAAGGCATTTCCTGGCACAGGCTACAGGAAACACAAGCGAAATTCAGAATAGCACCTGCTGCAGGCAGAAAACCTGCCTCTCCTTCTGTGTGCGTTGTGTAAAAAGATGATTTGCTTATTTGTGTAACTCAGCGGATAAGTTTTTATTTTCTTTTTTAAAGATTTATTATTTGAAAGAGTTACAGAGGGAGAAGGAGAGGCAGACAGAGTTCTTCCATCCATTGGTTCATTGCCCCGAGGGCTGCAACAGCCAGGACTGGGCTAGGCCGAAGCTGGGACCCAGGAGCTTCATCTGGGACTCCCGTGTGGGTGCAGGGCCCAAGCTCGGCTTTTCCCAGGGGCATCAGCAGGGGCTTGGATGGGAAGGAGATAGGAAGTGGAGCAGCAGGGACCTGAAGTGGCACCCATGTGGGGTGCAGCGTCTCCGGCTGTACCACAACGCCGACCTCAGATAGGCTTTTCGTTTTTGGATGTGAGCTCCAAGTGCTGTGTCTTACAGTTGGGAAGTTTTGTCTGTTTTCTTCTCGACCTTGTCCTGCGCCCCCCTCCCCTCCCCCATCATCCTGACCCTCTGCCTGCCCCTGCACCTCCTCCATCTCGCTCTAGAGGGCTTGGGCGTGGTTGGTGAGGAACCGAGCTCAGCCAGGGGTGGATGGCACAGCAGGTGGAGCCACCGTCTCCCCAGCTTCCCTGTGAAGAGACTGCCTTTGTCGCAGCCTGCAGCACACGGGCAGTTGCTCACTCTGTCCAGCAGGTGACAGCATGGGCCCTGTGCAGCAGGGAGTGGCACAGGCAGACCAGGGCACACGGCCCCCATTCTCAGCATAGGCCTGTTTCTCGGCAGCTGCCACAGACCCTGAGGGGCTCGCGGGAGAGCAGCCTGGTGGTCTGCCTGACTCGGGTTCTTTCGTCGGATTGACTCAGGCGTTGGGGATTTTGAACTAATCTGCAGATACGTTTTCCAGTGTGTGCTTTGAAAGATGCCTGTGACGCTCCCAGCGTGAAGGCAGCCGTGCTCCGTGGCAGGGACGTGCCAAGAAAGGCATGCTGGCCAGCTGGCCCCCTGCAGGTGTGGCTGCCGCGTGCCGGCCAGTGAGGCAGCGCAGGAGAGCTGCAGTGCACACGCCGACCTGTGGTTCTGGAATCAGTGTGGTTGGACCCCCGGGACCCAGCCCAGCCTGGAGCAGCTGAGCGGGGGCCACGGCAGCCTTTGGAAGCTGTTGCTGGACAGGGGCTGGCATCGCGGTGCCCAGCATGAGCTCGTTGTTCGGCGGACTGCACAGCGAGACCTGGACAGCGACTTGGGCTCACGGATCTGCCTTGGTGCGGGCGCAGTCCAGGCTGAGCAATTGCTGGGGGAGAAATGCTGTTCACAGGTGGTCTTCCTGCCTTGGGTTGAAGATGGCTCTCAGGGAGAGTTTGCTTGGATTACGTCCTCGTAGCCTCCGGGTTCCCGAGACAGCACCTGAGGGAGCATGAGGGAAGCGTTAAGGGCGCGGCTGCCCACCCTCTGGGGTTTCGCCCAGGTCCCCGTCACCCACGGTCACCTGCGGTCACCCGCGTTCCCGCCGTGCTGCCGCCCCAGGTGGAAGCTCCCGAGTCGCGCACACATGCCCCGCTCTGCTTCGCCTGCCTCCCAGCCCCTCCTCCTTCTCCAATGTCCTCACCTTGTAGGACTGGCACGGAGAAATACACTATAAATTTAATTAACAGTCTCTACCTCTGACGTCCTTTTTTCGGCCTTGTGTATCGGAAGGAAAGTCGGGGACGGGTTCTGCGGAATCTCCCCTTTGATGTGAGCTTCGGAGTAGCGAAGCTGCCCGCTGAGCGCCTGCCTCCCGTGCACCAGAGGCGCCGCGGCCGGGAGGGGCCCTGCCGAGGGCTCGGAGGGCACTGTGTCGATGAGAGAGCATCGCTGGCCTTTCCCCTGGCAGCTTTTGCACAGCCGGGCACGCGTCCCTCACTGCTCTCCACTCGCAGGGGTGCGAACAGGCTCAGGTCACCTACGTGTGGCCCTGGTGAGACACCACAGCTGCGAAGTCTCGCCTCCTGGTGCGGGAGCCTGGCGCTCCGTGTGGCAGAGCGCAAGGTGTACCGAGGCGCCGCGTGGTCTGAGGAAGTGTGTGTGCAGTTGTCTGGGTTGAGGATGCACTCGCTGCTTTTCTCACCAAGCGCCTTTTTTGATTTTGATGTATTTTGTTTATTTGAAAGGCAAAATGACAGGGAGAGACAGAGAGGGAGGGGACAGAGAGAGGCTGAAGCCAGGGGCCAGGAGCTCCATCCAGCTCTCCTGCGTGAGTGGCAGGGGCCCAAGCTCTTGGACCGTCTCCTGCCACTTTCCCAGGCCATTAGCAGGGAGCTGGGAGTGACCGAAATGAGAGACTAGGAGCTCTTCCATCCTCTGGTTCACTCCCCAGATACTGCCACAGCCAGGACTGGGCCATGCTGGAGCCAGGAGCCAGGAACCTACGTCCTCATCTCCCACCTGGGTGCAGGGACCCAAACACTGGGGTCATCTGCTGCTGCCTTCCCAGGTGCGTTAGCAGGGAGCTGGACTGGAAGCAGAGCAGAGGGACCCAGAGCAGCTGCTCCGATACGCGATGTCGATGTCCCGTAGACAGCTCACCCACTGCATAAGCGCCGTTTTATTGAAAAAAATAAACAAATAAAATGACCCCTGTGCTTACTTAGGCTTGGGACTTGGCAGACTTTTTTTGGAAAATGAACCAGATGAACATGTCATTCTGAGGAAAACAACTTGACTGTTTTGCTAGTGATAAAATTTGTGCTTTTAAGGGAAAATTAGAATTTAGGAAAACTTACATCCACTACTATAAGCTTAACCGTTCAATTTAAAATATTTATTTGTTTGAAAGAAGCCACAGAAACAAAGGGAGAGACAGATGCTAGTCTGCTGGTTCACTCTGCAGATGGCCACAACAGCCAGGGCTGGGCCAGGCTGAAGGAAGCCAGGAGCCAGGAACTTCCTCCTGGTCTCACGTGGGTGCAGGGTCCCGGATACTTGGGCCACCCTCTGCTGCTTCCCCAGGCGCACCAGCAGGGAGCTGGGTCAGGAGGGAGCGGCCAGGATTCACGCTGGTGCCCCGGTCTGGGATGCCTGCATTGCACGCCATGGCCTCCCTCGCTGTGCTGCAGGGCCTGGAGCGAGGGTTTCAGTTCTGAACAGAATTCCAAGCAGGAGTGGTATTCTTGTTAATCATATAATCAGATTTTCCAGTGCTTTTGAGATCTGTGTAGCTTGGAGAAATGAGGTCTTCCAGGCAACCTGGTGGTTCACAGTCACGCACGGGAAAAAAATCCCTGTGAGGTGCGGGGTGAGCAGTGGGGTTTAGTGTGACAGGTGTGCGCAAGCGCTGGTAGCAGTCCAGGCTCCCCGCCCCTCGTCTTCAGAGCGTGGAATCCAGAAAGGCCATTCACGCTGTCTGCTCCTGTCTGCTTCCACTAAAACCCTTCCTCAGACCGGGTTGAACACAGGAGGGGGTATGAAAATCTAGCTGCGTTTCATTAAGCCAGAGATGGGCAGGCATGGAAAACCGTTTGTCCTCCCTTTTTAGAGTGGATCTTGATGAGAAAGCTGCAGTAGATTGTTCTCTGTTGCTGTAACAAAATGCCCACGGCTGAGTCCTGGGTGGAGAAGAGCGGTGCATCGAGGTCGCGCTGGGGCAGTCCCGCGGCCGGCGTGGGGCGGCGCTGTTTGCTCGGCCTCCGGTGCGGGCCTCGGGCCTGCCTCACAGCGTGCAGCTGGTGTCAGGGCAGGAGCGCCGCGGCGTGTGACGCTCGGGAGGCGGGCTTGGTCCTCCTGTGCCACCGCGCTCTCACAGGAGCTGACTCAGCCTGAGACTGGCAGTGACAGGTTCTGAGGGTGCTGCCCCGAGCGCAGCTGCCTTCCTGAAGGCTCAGCTCCACCTCCTCACGCCAGCGCCGCACCAGGCCCCCAGCCGGCTGCCGCACAGGGCCAGCCGAGGCCAAACCCCAGCGAAAGTGTTCCTGTTACTTTCCAGTGAGCTGGGAAATCCTCCGGCCGTC